AAAGGAGGAATATATCATTTATTGTTTTGTCAATAATTATTATGTCATGTCATAATAGTTAAGCTATGTCATCATTTAACCTATAAGAGCTAGTTACCGGTGGGTAATATTTGAACAAAACATATAGTTTGTTGGTTTTTTTTGTACAAAAAGTTTACTTGGATGGTGTTTTTTGAACATACCAAACTTGGATGGTGTTTTTTAAACGATTTTGAAACATAGTTACCCATTTAAGTCATTTCCTCATGTTTTTTTTTTTCTTTTACTTAATTTTTACTGGTAATTGCCGGTTACCACAAGGTCAAATTTGAATAAAAAATGTACTCCGTTGGTATTTTTTGTACAAATACTTTACTTGGATGGTGTTTTTTGAACACACCAAACTTGAATGATATTGTTTGAACGATTTTGTATCATACATCGTTGATTGTACCTTAAGTATATTCAAAATACTACCTGTTTTACGACATACATGAATGTAATGTTTACACCAACCGGATATAATTGAATATTTCTAAGACAAAATTTCACAAAATGATCATTTAGGTTTAATGTTTTTCTCTGAAATGGTTTATATGAAACTTTTTTCCTTGAGATGGTCCCTAAGAAGCAACTCTTACACACAAATGGTGTTTACCGTAGATGTCCATTATATGGATCCGTTAAGTTGAAATAATTTTTTGGATAACAACTATTTCTGTCATTTGTGAAACTTGCTAAAGAATCATTTATGAAATTTTACATAAAGATCATTTGAAATATTACAATGTTAATTATTCATCATTTTCTTTTTATATTTTTGGTCCTATTGTTTACTTTTTTTAATTCAAATTTCCTTGAAAAATTTTCCTTAATTTTTTCATAACTTTTTTATTTTTTAAATATTATAAATAATTTTTGTTTTCTAGACTTTATCTAAAGTATTCAAACTACAATAAATAATTAAATATTTATCTTAACAAATTTAAAGTATAAAGACATCATTTTATTACTTTTTAATTTTTACATGATGTAATTTTTAACATTTATCCTCATTTATCTTATATGTTTTGGTTTTGATTTTGTAATATAAGTACAGTAAAATTTATATTAGTTCGATATAAAACTTTGATATTTAGTTTTATCAAATTTCGAATATATTTCTTAATAAGACATAAATTTTTCAATGCAAAATTAAAAATAAAAAAATAAATTGTTAGCTAATAATTAACTACGCTCCTACACATGCTAAAATAATTAATCATATGAATAATATGACATTACTTTTATTTAACTCATTTTATTTAATAGAAAATAATTTTTATTATATATTTCTATAAATGAATTAAACAAAATTAATGTTATAAGAACCCGAATTAAACAAAATTAATGTTACATGAACCCAAATTAAAAGGAAATTAAGGACATTAATTTTATTTAAAATTTATTTTCCATTAAATAAAATGAATTAGATGAAATTTAATGTCATATTATTCATATGGTTAATTATTTTAACATGTGTAGCATCATAGTTAACTATTAACTAACATCCTTTTTTTTTTTTATTTTGCTTTGAAAGGTTTATGTCTTTATTAAGGTATATATTTAAAATTTGATAAAACTAAATAAATTTTTAAAATTGAATATCAAAAGTTTATATTGAACCAATATAAAATTTACGATACTTATATTATGAAACCAAATTTCGAAATATATTTTTATCTTTAACTCAAAATCATATATTTATATTTTTTTAATAAAATAGAACGACACCATTATTTCTATAATAATGTATTTTTTATGATAACACATCGTATTTTTTTACAAAAATAAATATATTTGTATAAGAAAAATATAGATAAATCTTAAAAGTTACATCATGTAAAAGTTAAAAAGTAATAAAATGATGTTTTTGTACTTTAAATATTTTTAAATAAAAATAAAAATGATAATATTTAATTATGTATTGTAGCTTGAATTTTTTAAGTAAAGTCTAGACAACAAAAATTATTATGTAGTAAATAGAATATATTTGTATGATGATTAAAATTTATAAGCTTTAATGTTTCATTTATATAAATATTACATTTCATGTAAAAATAAATATATTTCATAAAACGATTTCATATATACCAATGTTGTAAAAACTAATTTCTAAAATCACATCTTAAAAAAACATATAATAACAAAGTTGTGAAAAAATTAAGAAAAAATTTTAAAAGAAATTTGAATTAAAAAAAAAAGAAGTAAAAAATGGCCGAAAATGTAAAAAGAAAAAAAGTGAAACATTAACATTGTAATATTTCAAATGGTGATTGTGTAAAATTTTACAAATAATACTTAAAAAAAATAGTTTTTATCCAAAATTCTTTCAAATTAACGGATCCATATAACGGACATCCATGGTAATGACCATTTGTATATAAAATTTACTTTTTAGATATCATCTTAGGGAAAAAAAGGTTTTATAGGTACAATTTAGGGGAAAAACAGTAAACCTAAAAAACCATTTGTAAAAATTTGCCTATTTCTAATTTTGTTTGTTTTGAATTTTAATTTAGTTGTTGAGAAGGTTAAAATGATCCATAAATGTGGGCATTTCAATATTATGATCATTTTATTTTTAATAAATCTAATTTACAGATTCTTCTTGAATATAATAAGTAACTTATAATAATTAATTTTTCTATACTCAAAAAACTTTTTAACACTTGTAATATAGTGTTCATGTGGTAAGGACTAAAAAGTATGTAACAGGTCATTTATAGAATTAACATTGGGACATTGGGACAAAATGTTACATACTTTGGGTTGTCACAATGTTTTAGATAAGATGCTTAGGTACTTACTATATTAGCGTCTTAGATTTATTAAATTTTATTTATCAATTTATTCTCTATAATATTTAAAGTTTAAATTTATTAAAGCTTGTGGAAACTATCAGTTTTGTGGTTGAGGCATTTTGAGGTAATGTTAGTTAAATATTACAAGGTTGTGGCAAGCATTGTCTAAGTGTTAACTAGTTTTCATCTCTTTTGGTTGAAAGAATAAAATTGTATCCTAAATCTTGGCAAAATTGTCTTGACTTCAGTTTTAGAGGGCATGGGTCTAGTTCTTGATACAAGGATGGTTTTAAAGCTTCATATAGGATTTCTATTTCATAATATATTGGTATTTTTCATTGTTGATGAAGTCTTTGAATGATTAACATTTAGGAACATAAAAATAAGTAAAAAAATCAAACTTTTTTTCACTACGTACAAAAAAAGTAGGTGTTGTTGGTACTACACCGAGACACCTAGTAAAACTGACCCTAATGACATTTTACATTGAAATCACAAGTATATCGGAATTCATAGAGATCTCTATGGAAAATTGGATGATGGTATACACTAAAAGAAGAACATAGTGGATAAGACTTCAAGAATTTCACAAATTGTTCATACCTTTCCCTTTAAATCATTTAGGAGTTTTAAAATTAGCCATAAAATTCGTATGTTGGATTACAACAGGAGTTGTTGGAGCATTATGGGACTTATCATCGTATTGGTAGGAATAAGAAAGAAGTGAGTCATGATAAGTTCAAGCAAAACATCTGCAGTCTGAAATAAGAAGATATTTTGTTTGTTTGTTTGTTTTTCTTTTTCTTTGTTTTTTTGATTTTTTTAGCATCTATAGAATGCTAAAATAAACTAAAATCTAAATAAATGGATTTTCTTAAAACTTCATAGCATTTTTTAATATTTTTATGACTTTATTATAGATAATTAATAAATCTATATCAACTTTTATGTATTTTTGTATAAAAAATAAGAATAAAGTGGTACCAATCACCACATGTATTTGAGAAAAACCAACAATTTTGGTCACGAAGTTATACCTAAACATTGTAATTAGGGATTAAATAATTTAATACATAAAATGGATTAAAATAAACTTCAATTTTAAAATGAAAATTTTCAAAATTTTCATTTTAATTTTTTCAATTAAATCTATTAAAGTAACCATAAATATTTTTCAAAGAATTTGAAGCTGCTGCATCAAACGATGTTTTACAAAATTTGACACAAAAAAGATAAAACAATATTCTGATTTTTTTTTTCATATTTATATAAACAACTCTAATGACCATTATTGTAATAAATCTTTATTTATAAATTAATAGGCTGGTGGGTGTGTGTTGTGACATGCTCTTCAAGGGGGTTTGGATGCTTGATGATGTAACTGCTTTGGGAGCTTTCCTGAGAACACAATCACAGAAGAATCGTTAGAGAACGACCGGGTGTTCTCCCACAACGTCACTCTGATGATCCAGTTAGTTTTCTGAGAGAGAGAGAGAGAGAGAGAGAGAGAGAGAGAGAGAATATTATGGTAAATTTAGTGAGAGAGAAGATGGATCCTTTCCTTGAGGCAGAAGAGATCCTTTTATGACTGCTTCTAATGGATCGTGGGGACCTCGTCCGATTAGCGTGAGATGTGGCCTCCTCTTACTGTGAGATTTTCCCATGCTAACTAACTGCTAAGTGACGTCAGTTCTGGGCATCAAATGAGCTATTCGTCACCTTCTGATTGGCTGTGGGTGAATAAGGATATCATGTGGAATGTTCTTTCCTTGTGATGGGAAGTGAGCTATCAACTTTTCGATGGATCGTGTGGGCCAAGACCGGGTATCGGCCAAGGTACTAGCATGTTAAGGCTCCGTCAAGAGCTTTCGTTAAGTTTAACGTGACCGTATAGGGTAACGTTAACAAGTCCCTTAGACCAGTAGGCGTCCACGTTCGTGACATAGCAGTGTCATTCTGGTATATTCCTAGGAACATGGCGAACTGCTATTGATGGCCTATGCGGTTGTCAGGGCGAAATCGCCCGCTCTTCAGCAACCTCATCGTGGGAAAGGTTCTCTTACACTTTTTTGTATTTAAACCTTTATTTATCCTAGCTGATCCTCTTCGCCTACTACCTTTCTTTCTTTAAGTTCTTATTCGAAAGAAACCATTTTGTCTTTTCCTTTGAACTCTTTCATGGCTTCCTCTCGTTCTATGCGTAGAAATCTCAAAAAGTGGGAAACTTTTCAATTCCGATTTAGGTTTGTTCCTAAACACGACGTACAAATTCTTCTTTCTAACGCATCACTTTACAACCCGCTTGAGGGCAATGTTGGGATTCTGATCGCCTTATTCGAGGCAGGTCTTCATTTTCCTACCACTAACTTCTTTAATCTGATCATGCATGAATACGGGATTTCAGTGAGGGAGTTGACTCCCATTGCTATAAACAAGATAGTAGGTTTTGAGCTCCTCTATCGCGCTATAGGTTGTCAACTAAATGTTCAGGCATTCAAGCACTTCTTCAACACTTCCACTCAATTTGGACCCGAACCCTTTCTTGTTGGCGGGGAGTCCCTACCCTTATTCACGAACAAAAGTCCAAGAAGAACTAGCAAGAAAAGTTCTTGTGGGTGAATAATGATCTTGTGGTGCTTGCCTACCCAAGGGTTAAGGCAT